TTTCAAATGGATAGGACACCAAACAAAACATCATGTGACCATGCACTGGTCAGTACAGCTGCCTGTAGGGGTGACTGTATGCAAAGGAGAGGATGGAGGGGCCGTATGTAAGTTTATCTGCTTTCCCAAGAAAAATATCCACCTTTCTAAGGGCTCTTAAAAATGTAGAAAACTTGCCCTGTTACCACAGGTTTGCAGAATACCTCTAAACACACACAAAAGAAGACAGAACCTATAAATTTCAACCATAGCTTAAACTCTAAAAGCATTTTTGTGTTATTTTGCTTTGATACTGAAGGGGAAACTCAGCTATAAAGAAACATTAAAAAGTATTTTTTTTCTTTTTGTGGTGATGAGTCTTAAGAACTCTCTGTAGCTGCCTCCCCAGCTTGTGCTGCTATTTTCCGGGTGTGCTCAAGAATGTGAGGCAGGTCCGTCCGTCCCCCCAGCCCGCAGCCAGACGCGCGCCTCAGATAAGCCATTCCCTCTTGCTCTCATCAATGGTCTCTGTGAAGTTGGGGTCGTTGTTCATGATGGCAGCATCTGCGCTCTCTGCTGACTCTGCCCCCTTGGCCTCACTGTGTGGTAGGTGCCCTTGTGACGGAACATGTCCCGTATGAGGAAGACCAAGGTGCAGAGAATGGTGAAGATCACCACTGCAATGACACCTCCAATGATTGCAGTTTCTGTTGACACCATTCCGGATAGGCTGGCCCTGTCCTGGGTTGTATGGGAAATCAGCACTGGCTGACTCCAGGTGGTCCAGGTGCCAAGGGTCGGTGGCGGCCGACATGGGCGAGATGGTCAGCGGGGAGGCCCCGCAGTTGGACTCCACGAGCTGGCCCTGCACGTGCACCTGGGCGGACACGTTGGTCTGGCGTAGGGCGGCTTTAAGCGGGGCAACCTGGTTGAACTGCACCCTGGACAGGCAGCCGGTGAAGCCAGGTGTGTTGTACTTGTGGATCTCAGGGTCAATCCTCCCCGTTTCTGGCGGCACTCCGGTGCGCTCCAGCAGGGCCGGGGGTGCAGAGGGGCTGAGGGCCCTTTGTGGCCACGCTGAGCGCTGAGCGCTCGGGGCCACTGGACCCCAGCCTAAGGTTTGCTTTTAAGGTCCTATTCCTAGTCAATCAATAATGGTTTCTTTTGTGCTGAATATTGATTCTGTCAAGGGGAAAGGATTAGAATGGGACACACTGGACTATAGGCTTATAGAAGCTCATGAGACCTCAGTGCTGGTCTCTCTTTGGAACACCAGCTCTCCTGGAACACGGTATCGAGCTGCATCCAGCCCGGCCCACTGCTCACCACTCTCTGCACCACCACCCTGCATCATCCACCGTCACCACACAACTGCACCACAAATGACAGTCGACAGGACGCTGGCCCATCACTCACCAGTGTCTATAAAACCAGCCTGGGTCACGGAGCCACGAGGGAAGGCAGTGCCGGCTCTGAGTGACAGCCGTAGGCACCTATCGGGTGGGGAGCCCCGCCTGCAGAGCTTGGACCCCTTTGCTGTTGCAAGTCAGGGTGATGACCTGCTTCCTGCTGGGACTGAGGATTATATCCATATAAGAATTCCACAGAGAAACGGCAGGAAGACCCTTACAACTGTCCAAGGGATCGCTGATGATTACGATAAAAGAAACGAGTGAAGGCGTTTTAAGAAGAAGTCTGCCTGCAATGGTACTGTAATTGAGCATCCAAAATATGGAGCAGTAATTCAGCTACAGGGTGACCAGCGCAAGAACATATGCCAGTTCCTTGTAGAGACTGGACTGGCTGAGGACCACCAGCTGACGGTTCATGGGTTTTAAGGGCTCGTGGCTCACTGAAACTTAAGTGAGGATTTCCTTGCAATGAGTAGAAAATTTCCCTTCTGTCCTTTGTCACAAGTTTAAAACTTCACAGCTTGTATAATGTAACCATTTGGGGTCCACTTTTAACTTGGGCTAGTGTAACACTTTCATGCAATAAACTGAAAAGAGCCAAAAAAAAAATACAAACCAGCCTGTAGACCTACTGTCAGCTAAGTAATTTTCCTGATGTATCTGAGTCTGTGAGAGGCCTCCCTGCAAATATCCTAGCCCAAGGGACATGGAGGAGGAGCTGGGGAACTGAGCAAAGGAGAGAGTCGTCGATGAAGGCCATGATGGACTTGTATGCCAGGTCAAGCACATGACACGACATTGCCTTGACACTTCTTATACCTGGTCTGCTACTACTTTTATGAGAACACACCATGAACACACTGTAAGAGTACTTTCAGGGGGATTATATTCACACTTACTCCATGGTCTAGGACACAAAGAAGAAGCACAAAGTAGAAATATGAACTGAAAAGGGAACATCGGTTAGTTAGGAACATTCCATTGTATCTCTTTTGAAAAGATGTCTAAGAATAGTTGGCAGGATATACAGTACACACCAAACAGAAAACAACATAGTCACATCATGGAAACACGGCAGAACGGCTAATAAAATTTAAAAAGAGCACAGGTGAGGCAGGTCACAGAGAACTGAGATCCCCCACAGCAGGAAAATGCCCGGATCTCATTGCACGGGACAGCAACGACCAGTGATGAGTCCTCTGAAACACAGCCACACAGACGGTGGCGATCTGAGGACTGGGACACTACGTCTGAAGAAACAGAATGAGGATATTAACTATGGGTAACTGCATACGCTGTTGAATGTAATCAGCCTGAAAAAAAGAAAATGTTCTCACCTGCCGTCAAGTGTGGACACCCTCTGGTTGGTTTACTCGCTGGGCAAACCACAAGAAGCAAACCTGGACATCTTGGTAGAGCGGGCTGTCCTATGTATACAAAACACTTGCTGGGACTTTCTCAACCAGGGCGTTCTTCCCTCTCAGCTATTTCCAATAAAGACAAAACGCTTGCCTATGAGTCATGCAGTTTATTCAAGGATCGGGAAGACAGTGAAATCAGCCTCTAACAAGGTACCAACAGTGCCCTGCAACTTTCCACAGCATCAGAGGTTTGATGAGTGCCAATTTGGTGCACGTACCCAGGATCATGATACCATAAACAGATGACATTATATGAGTAAGACACTGAGGAATTTGTAGCAACCTAGTGTGTAAGAAGAGACCTCGCCAACACAAAAGTAGGTATTTTGAATCGATCCACTGAGTCACAGGAGAAAGCTGAGCAATCCCCTCCCTTGTGATTGTGTCTCTCGAACCACGGTGAAGTGTAAGTTATGAGTCACTTCTAATTCTAAACCTGATTCTGAGAAAACAGAGCAGAAATCACGAAAGATCGCTGCAGAATATGGCTGGGCTGCGTGGTCAAGGGGGACTGGGTGATTATCAAAGGGCCCTGTCCAAATTATGAAAGTCTGGAGAATAACGTGGGTAAGTGCTATGCACAGCATTCTACTGGCAACTGAGTTAGTGACTTTCATGACTGAGACACAGGATGAAGCCGGAGGCCTATGTGGATTCCGAAAGACTCAGATCCCACATCTAGGAATACTGTTATTTCCCTGCCAATGAAACCATGGGAGGGAAAACTGTGAATTTGGCCCTGAGCAACAGCAGGTCATATGAGCATCAGAGAGGATCCTAATTAGATTGGTTTCTCTCTCCTTCCCCTCTCTCCTTCTAACCCTGATTCACACAGGATTTCAGGGACACTGCTGGACAGCAGAAGAGGAACAGGGCTAATTTTTTAATTATCTGGGTAATTCCTTAGTATCTTAAGTACCACTGATCAGAAAGACACTGATGCTCTTGGTCAATGGAGCGAAAACACCACGAAATTACCATTCCACCTCAAATACCCATCATGCTGTGAACGTTACTGGAAGAACAGTAAGGAAGGTGGTGTCAAAATTAGTTCAGGGACAAAACTGGAAATGATACAAAACAGAACAAGATATTGAGGGAGATGGGGGAAAATGAATCACAATAAAAATATACCAAATAATCTAGAAAATTATTTGGAGTTAAAACTATACCCCATGGTCTTAAATTTCCATAGTTCAGATTTTGGTTTCTCTAGGAAAAGTGAACTTTAATTTTCGTCTGTAATGCGAGAATTCAGCACTCATTAACTTACTGCCACCCACAGGAAATAAATAACAGTACAGTAAGTTTTCTCAAGTTGTAAGGCGTACTAGCAGAAAAATGTCCATCATATTCTCTCACTGAACATCTGGGGGATGTGAATGACCAGAAAAGACCCTGCTTTGGTTTAGGCGGACCACTGCTTACAAACGATTCCTGCAGACCTTCAATTGCAGAGTGCAAAGAACGGACAAGAATTATACAGATGAAACACCAACTCGAGGTGTGTGTATGAAGGGTGAGGAAATAGAATATGAGTTCATTCATTCCCCACACCTAAAGGCCTGAACACGATACATAAAACACTTCACTGGGGAAAACACAATAAAGAAAGCCCAATACTACACACAGGATGTGAAGATCACAGATAACGTTGTGCTGGACCACCTTGGAGTTCTGAGCAGGAGGTTGTGTCATTAAACTAGGAGAAACAAGGCGCAGGTGGGAGACAGCAGATCACGCGGCCAGGTCTGTAAGCACATCAGGAAAGTGACCCTAGGCATCCCCATCATGAAAGGGTGTGGACAGGGAAATGGCCGAGTATTAAGGGAGGATGCAATTAGGGGGCCTTCTAGCATTATTCTAGAAGCCTCCTCTTGTCACCTTTTCTACTTATGGGGAAACTGTAGGCCGACAAAACATAATGGGTCTCCCAAGAGTTTCTATCCCATACCATGAACTTAAGGTGGAAAAGACCTTTTCTCTAGGACTCACCATTTCTTGTTATCCTTTCTGCAGTGCTAAGGCAATGTCTTTGCTAATCTCAAGATACCACATCAGGAGGAGTGTTTCGGGTGGGCCAAGAACACAGGGATATTTGGAAGCAGATGAATGATGTTTGCTCCACACTCTCTTCACAGCGACTGAGGGTCCCTTGTGATGGACTCTAACTGCCTGGAGTAGTTGTTTATGAATCACACTTGAGACCTGAAAGAGACAACAGAGAGGAAATAACGTTCAGTCAATCAGGAGGAAGGTGGATTCTGTGACTTAACTTGTAGGAAGTAGTGTTGCTAACCCCACAGTCTAACCTTGGAAAGGGGGTGTACCTATGTATTGGTTAGCAACGCTGAAGGCAAAATATACAGAAGGGCCTCTTGTGTGATTTATACCTTTCAAAACACAGTCACTCGGCTCCAATTCCACCACAATGAATTTGTCAGCTTTAGAGTTTCCAGACACACAGAAATGCTCTGTAAGAGGGCATTTGTATAAGGGAGAACAAGCGGGAGCCTTCAAGGGCTTGATCGCTTCACACATTTTTAAGGTGGTATACATTCTACAAAGAAATTAACAGATGGAAAAACTATCTCATCCCAGCGCAGAGAGGCAAGCAGGCCTGAAGAACTAGGGAAACATCAACCTGATTTAATCTCGTTCTCTTTTGAGGACTAATGATAGTACGGTGAAACATTCATCAAGACAGTGGGAGACACACTATGGGCTACTCCCAACTGTTCAGAAATGACGTGTGAGTCTCCTCAGCACTTTAAGTCGGAGATAAGGGATATATAAAGATGAGACACTTAATATGTTAGCTCTGTTTGACTGGATACTGGGAATTGTAGTGTAATTTTGTGCTGCTACAATCTTGTTGTTCTCAAAACATTCAAATATCGGTTGTGAAGCACATGGTGGAGTCAATGCTACAAAGGCAATAGTGAGTGTTGTTGTTGTTGATTGCCTTCAAGTTGAGCATGACTCATGGTGACCCTACGAACAAAAGGTCTAAAAGCCCCTCTACAACTATCGACGTTTTTTTCAAAGTTCATAGTTTCCAGTCTCTTCCAGTCAGTTGGCCAGGTGGTTGTTCTCCAGATTTCTTGGCACAACTTGGTGAGCACGTCCAGGGTGACATCTGTTAGCTGAAATACGTCAATTGGTATATCATCTATTCCTGAGGCCTTATTTTTTATGATTTCCTTCAAAGCAGCTTAAACTTCTTCCTTCATCACCATAGGCTCTTGCTCATATGTTATTTCATTAAATTCTTCGATGTCAGGGGAGCTCTGGTGGCCTAGTGGCAAGAAGCTGCAACTACAATCCCAGAGGTGCACGGTTCGAATCCACCAGATGCTCTGCTGAGGAAGGAGGGGCGATCTCCTCCTGTACCAGTCAGATCTGATTTGACGGTACATGCACACAAAAATAATAAAACAAAATATTAAAAAAAATTTTTTTCTATGTCTGCCAATTCCTTTCGATACAGTGACTCAGTATATTCTTTCCATCTTCTTTTAATACTTCCTGGATCATTTCATATTCTGCCTAAAGCATCCTTGGTTATAGCAACTCTAGATTTGAATTTGTTCTTCAGTTCCTTGAACTTAAGAAATGCTGAGCGAGTTCGGCCCTTTTGATTTTCTGACTCCAACTCCTTACACATTTCATTGTAATATTTTACTTTGCCATCCCGTGCTGCCTTTTGAAATCTTCAACTCTTTAGTATCTTGAATTCTTTCCTCTGCTTTGGCTTCTCTGTGCTCCAGTGCAATTTTCAGTCTCTTCTGACATCCATTTTGGTCTTCTCTTCCTCTTCTGTCTTTGCAATGACCGTTTGCGCTCTTCCTGGATGATACCCTTGATATCCTCCCACAACTCATCTGGTCTTCACTCATTAGTGTTCAAGGCCTCAAACCTGTTCCTGAGATGGATTGAGCCTCAATGTTAAGAAGACAAAGAATCTCACCACTGGGCCAATTGGCAGCATCAGGTTGGATGGTAAAGAGATTGAGATTGTTCACAGCTTCAGTTTGCTTGGCTCCACAATCAACACTCTCGGCACCAGCAGCCAGGAAATTAGAAGACGTATTGCCGTGGGAAAGTCTGCTGTTAGGGACCTCTCCAAAGTACTGAAGAGCAATAGTGTTCCTTTGGAGACTAAGGTGCATTTGATACAGGTCATGGTCTTTGCTATCATTTGTTATGGAACAGAGAGTTCGACAATAACTAAGGAGGATAGAAGGAGAATTGATACCTTTGAGCTGTGGTGCTAGAGCAGAGTATTGAGGGTACCATGGACTGCTAGGAAAACAAACAGATTCATCCTGGAAAGGGTCAAACCCGGCTGCTCCTTGGAGGCAAGGATTCTAAGACTCTATCTAACATACTTTGAACATGTTGCAAGGAGGGACAGGTCCTTAGAGAGGGACATCATGCTTGGGAGGGTGGAGGGACAGTGCAGGAGGGGAAGGCCCCCTATGAGGTGGATTGATTCAGTGATTGGGGTAATCGGGATGGTTTTATCGGAGACGGTGCAACTGGTACAGGACAGAGTAGAGTTTAGGATGTTTTACATAGCGTCGCTATGAGTCGCAAGTGACTCGACGGCACCTAACAACAACAACAACATAGTTTCCGGAGGTATGTTATTTGGGAAATGGATGCCACTCCTGCTTCCAAACCTGTCAAAGTATGTTATTGTTTTTATATGACGTTGAATCATTTGAGATTTATAGCAACCCTATATACAGCAGCTCTGAAGCCCTCCCAGTCCTGAACCAGTCTCACTAACTTTGACACAACAACCCCCTTTGCCCCACTTACTATCTCAATCCATCTCATCCAATGTCTCCCTGTCCTGTGCTGTCCAACCACCCTTCCGAGCATGATGTCCTTCTACAAGGATCTATCTGTCTGGGCCATGTGCCCAAAGTAAGTGAGGTGGAGCTTCAAAATCCTAGCCTTCAAGGAGAGACTTCATTTCACCCTCGGCAAGACAGACTCATTTGTTTTCTCTGCTCTAAAGAGCAGAGGCAATCGTTTCTCTTAATGTAATAGAAAACCCTGGAAACCAATGACAAGTATGGCTCTACAACATGGCTGCATAAAAGAGGTTAAAATTTGAAAAGATTTTATGTGGTTAACAAGCCTTAAAAAAAAGTGAGGAGGAAGAGGGAGTCAGATATATGCAATGAAATCATGGTACAATAGCAAATATGGTTCAAAACAAGGGGAAGGAAATACAATGAGAAAGGTGCCATGTAAATAGGAAAAGGCTTTACTAATAGATCAAGACATTAATTTTTGTAATGCAGCCTGTAATAAATGATTATTAAGGTGATTACTTCATTGTAGTATTAAGAAAAACAGGCCTATTTAAATGAGAATAAAACAATTTTTAAAAGTTTTTTACTTTAAAGAACAAAAATTAAAAAAAAAAGTTTTTTACTTTGTGGAAGTAAGTATTTGTTAGGAAAAAAAAAAAAAATCTGTATTTCCATCTACATCTTGGGGTTGTCATTTCAACTTGTGTTTAAAATCCTAAATGAGTCCTTAAAAGAGTTGGGACTGGCCAGATTGTTGCTTCAGATTTCAAATGGTCTACCTGAGACTGAAATAGCTCATAAAGAATTCTTCCTACTTATTTTCACTCTGACAGTGGAATAAACATGGTCTAAAGGACTCTTTTTACATTGCAATGACGGACATGATCATCAAATCATGGCAAAGAGATTGCTCACCAAAATCTTCATCTTTTTTTTATGAAAAGCAATTCTCAAAAAAGA